AATGTAAAAAAAGACTGCGATTACACAAAAATTTCGAATAAAAACTTCATTTCGATTATTTCTGGCGGTTTTATCGATATAAAACACTTATCTATTGAGGCTATTATTAATTATTTTATAAATATTTTATGTATGGTAATATAATCCGAAAAGGCAAACAAATAAATATATAAAATTTAAATCTGATTATTCCTCTCAAATTATTCCTAGTCAAGCGTTGTTTATGTATATTTGTAGCCTTAAAGGTTTTATTATAAATTGAAATTAATTGATGTCAAATTATCGAATCCAAAATCACCAGTGGACGCGACTACCCCCTTCTCTCCAAAATGTAAACAAACACCTTCGACTATAATGAGGACAATCGTTGCTTTATAACGTTCTTTCTATTGCTAATAACTGTAAAATCATTTTATATCTTTTTTCTACATATGTTTTCGATTATTTAGGACTTTTTTTAAATAAATTTTTAAATAAAACTTACCAATAATGTAATCATATTCCCATTCCGGTTGTTTCGAAACTTCTATTTTCTCATCTTTCTTCCTATAGAAGGCAACAATTGATAACACAAATGCTCTGACAATGTTCATTGCTGTTACTGACGATCAGAAATCATTCATACTTCATATATTAATGTAAATATCGGGAATAAATTACGCCGTGACCTTGACAGATGTGATTTAGGTTGTGAGATAAGCCATTTACACCTGTAGGCTAATTGTTATTTAATGGTCGTCTTGAATAATAATTAAATATAAACTTATAGAAAACTCTTTGGCAAATTTGTTTGAATTATTTCACAGAAATTACATACAAAAATTGTTATTAACGTGTCAGTATCTTTTTTCGTTGTAATCATATTCTCTTCTGCATTCACAGTTAATATGGCAAGTTATATACTTGAAATTATACAGTTATTTTATATATATATATATATATATATATATATATACCGGTATGAGTAACCGTATAATTTCAAGTACAGAACTCAAAAACTGTATATAAATATATACAGTGCTCCATAAAAGTATAGAACCGCTGCAAATTTACTATACAAAGGTTAAGAATAACAAAGCTAATACAAAAAATGTAGTAAATCACCTTTAATAACAATTAAATATAATAATATTTTGAATTTAAAATACAAAGAAAAGAATTCCTAATAAATCATGTTTATGGTCTTGACTATTATGTTATCCATTTTTGACTCTTTCGTTCTTTGGACACCGAGGGAACTTTTTAATAATAATTATCATGGATTAGACCAGACCACAATAGCGCAGACTTGTGATGAGGGACGGGGTTAAGGGAAACTTTTAGAACCAGCAATAACAGGATTAATATTAAATTAAATGATTAGAACTTAAAACAAAGTTAAACCATTCTTTTATTTAGGAAATGAAATAAATATTAATTAAGAAATCTTTCAAAATAGAATTGAAAAGTCAAGATTATTAATGGAATAAGATCAAATTGCTCTTGAAATAAAACTGTAAGGGGAAAAGAAAGTCCATGAAACAGACTCAATGCAGATGGAAGATGAAAGAATACTGTGATGACATTGAAAACGAAGTTATGGAGGGGATAGAAAAGTTGAGGAATTTTATCCCTCCACAACTTTATTTATCCCTAACTCACTCCTTTCATGAAGATAAGGACTGAACATGTAAAATGGGGATAACCAAACTATAGCATACGTATTCATAGTGATACTCCTGAAGAATTTGCTTAAAACTCAACATGCATAGAATTTTTATTTTTATTTTTCCGACTGTATATAAACAAAAGTAGGAGGGAAAGTATGGAAATCAGTAAAAAATGATCTCAGAAGATTTTGACATTTTTGGACTCAGAAGACCTTGAAATATCGAGAAATGTCCTTAGATTCTTAAAGGCGTTCTTTCTTTTCTCTCCTTTCACGTTCTATCTGGCTTACTACACGAAACATAATGTTTTATAAGCTACCTACAGGTATTTCAAACTGTATGAACACAAACTAATATTCAACTATTCAAATACTAAATAGAAATAAATACTAAATAGAAATGAAAAACAAAATTAATAATTCGTACAATTGCCTTGAAAATTTAATAATTGTTTCGATGCTATTAATACAGAAACAATGAAGACAATTATCTCCTTGTAAGACCGTTTATTTCGCAATTTATTGTTTAGAACATCGTAGGGGAGTTAGATTTCGAGTGCCCGGGAGCACTCTTTTGTCTGACTTGAAACTCGAAACTCGAATCCAAGGATTCTTAACATAGTTACGTTATTTATTATTACAGGATACTTAGCGCCAGATATACCACAAATTACACGCCCCATATGACCCAGTTTGGAGTGCAATAGGTTGTCCTTAGTAGATATTATTCCATCGATCGGAACGAATTTTAGACCCGGAAAAAGGTGCATGGACAAGATAGACCTAAGAAAAAGGACCGACGGCGTAACGCTGGTGTTTGCGGAGGAGTGGCGAAAGAATAGAAAGACATCCAAGTCATTTGTTCACGACTCCGTTGTATTAAGGGCGAAGCAGCACAGATTTCGTTATTTGGACGATTTCGTCAGTTTCATAACAACACATCCTTACAAACATCCCTCGCCGTAACATTCACAATTGGACCATTATCTAGTTTGTTCGTCGCATCCAATCATTTGCATATCACGCACCGTTACCGTAAACGACACCGTCACATAACACCAACACTGCTTCCCGAAATCCAACCCCAGGTCCTCGTCCTGGGAAGTGGAAACGTCACTCGATGTTTTCGAGTGGTGGCTAAAGGGGCTCTGGTACACTGGATATATACACACACTATAGTTATCTTAATATTCTGTGTGCAACTTTGTCAACAGAGATGTAAGGGTATTTACAAAATGCTAAAACTTTTTAAAGATATTTTCATTAGAGAGCACGGATGCTGTAATCTACGGGGATAAATGAAGATGTTTGTTTGTACGCTAGACACTCCTAGGTCGTTCTACCAATTGCTATGAAACTCGGGTAGTTCCGCATAAAGACTTCTAACTTACATCATGTCATACATCCCACCTCAAATTATCGATTGCAATTTAATAAATCAATTAACTTTTCTGAATTACTACGACAATGATATAGCGCGAAATAGATGCGCCCTTACTCCATTACTACCACAGGTAGCACATAGCACTTCCCTGCGTGGAATGTAGTAGTGTTTTGCCCCCGTACATCATACTTTTCCCGTTAGCAATAAAGTCGTGTCGGTCATCCATCTAACTCCGTTCGGGAATCAAAGTAACGTTACTTCCGTTCTAAACGTGATATTCGTATAATCTAAGCCTCCTGCCCTAAGCTTTCGACTTTCATTTATATAACTCCTTTCTTGAGATTAAGGAAGGACCGATAGACAGGTGACGATAGTGGGAATTTATAGATGTACAATTTTTTCAAATTGCAGCCCAATAATTCTTCCATAAACGCAATATTTGCGAGAATATACTTCCGCATAGTTTATACAATCTGTTGCCAAAATTTAAAAAATATATATATTATCACATAAAAGCAATTATTCTAGCATTTTTACAAGATTTTTATTTATTTAAACAAGTCGTACGAAGTCTTTCAGACGTTAAGGTTAGCAATTTCTATCACGTGCGGAACCATTACAACCTATTCAACATGGATCACTTTTCAAATACAGTATTAACAGTAAACCAGTATTAATAAGTAGTCGTCGAGCATCCTCTCTCCCGGAAGAGAGGTCAAGGACTAATTTTGATCGAATTAAATAAAAAAGCCAAACTCAAATAGAAGCGACAGCCAGAAAGCATTTACCTGTATTGAATTTGTACAGTAAGGCCTCGTTTAACGCTACCTCGATTAACGCCGATTCGATATAACTCGGTCTGCTCGAAGACTTAAAAAAGCTCAAAATTTACACCGATTCAAATTATTGCGACATTTTATTGATTCGTATATAATACGATTATTTCCTAACACGAACCAACCAGCAAAAGGTGGCAATTCGTCGTAGCGCTGTACTTTTCTTGATCTGTGTTCGATGCAATTTTGGAAAAAATATAACATCGTGGATGCCATAGGTTATATCCAAGGACTGTATACTACAAGGATAGCCAGATCCCTATTCTACAATGTTAGCCAGGAATGCCAAGTTAGTGACGTCAGCACGAGTCCTGACCTCTCTGTTTATATAGAGCAGGGTGTGCACGTGTTTAGTTTTCGCTTTTAATATTCGTCCAATTTTGTGATTAACGAAGTGATTTATTTTAATATTTCTGTAATTGTTTTATTTGACTAAGTTTTTTATAAGGTAAGATGATTTAAATATAAGTCATTAAATATTTAAAGCTATATTTTTATGTTAGGTGAAGAACAAAAT